GAGAGGGAACACAAGCAGGGGGAGTGGGAGAGGGAGAAGCAGGCTTCCCGCCGAGCAGGGAGCCCGATGCGGGGCTCGATCCCAGGACCCTGGAATCATGACCTGAGCCGAAGGCAGGCGCTCAACGACTGAGCCACCCAGGCGCCCCAAGATCTTTTGAGGCATTGTCTTAGCCTGTGTCTTTCCTGGAGCACATGTGATGACTTTCTAAATTCTCCTATATATATGATTGCTTTTGTATGTCCTAATCCTTAAATGTCTGATTTCAAAAAAAGAGAAAAAAGGAAAAATTAAGGAAGAAGAAGAGAAGACAACTCTGGCTCTTTAAATCCTCTAGAAATTACTTCAGCCAGTAGGGGAAGGACTTGCAACAATATAGTGGTGGTGGTGGTGGGGTAAAACAGTGGCTGCCTGCCCCTGTGTTTGCACCTCCATGATCAGAAGCAGTTATCAGTGATCAGAACACAGATCCCTGATATTTGGAAGATAGGGGTTTTAGTGTCCAACCTGGTTCTGTAAGCCACCTGCATGGTGCTCCAGCATGACTATCTGTCATGGGCCTGGGTGTGGGGAAAAGCATGGGTAGCCACTGCTGAGCTAAGAGGTGAAATTGACTGAAATTGACTGCAATTTGCCTTACAAGCCTTGAAATAGACTCCCGAATTTCAAAATAGCTCTATCAGTCAGATTCTGCCAGTACAAATATCATCTAGGTGGAGGGATGTATTTCTGGTGCTTCCTACTCTGCCATCTTCCCAGAATTCTAATTCCAAGTTGTCGTTCTTTCACTTGAAGTATTTTTTTTAATTCCTCTTTTCTGCCAGGGTCAGTGAACAGAAGATGTGTATCATTGTCCCAAAATATCTATGAGATGTGCCACACATAAGATAAACACATAATGAACACATGGTTATAAATGATGTAAATGCTATGATGAAAAAAATACATGGCCTAGAATCTTATCCTAGAATAGTTTCCTACAACCAAATTCCCACAAGCATGTACTTCCTCTGAAATCTATTCTTATTTTAATCTTTCCCTTCTCTGATGTTATTCAGAATTTATTTTTGTGTGTATCACATAATAGGTTCAAGGAATATAATTCTGAATTTTATTAAAAGATAAACTTCATTTTTGTTTTTCTTTTCTAATGAGCATATAGGTTTGGCTACACCCCAGTGCAAGAAAGACTCAGCTGCCTGGCCAAGGACAACTCTATCTACGTTGTGGCAAATATTGGGGACAAGAAGCCATGCAATGCCAGTGACCCTCAGTGTCCCCCCGATGGTCGTTACCAGTACAACACCGATGTGGTGTTTGATTCTCAGGGAAAACTGGTGGCACGCTATCATAAGGTAAAGTTAATTTGCAAACAGTTCAGTTACTGAGTGTTTAACAAAATAAAGTGGACAAGAAGGAAAAATCATTAGTGTAGATAATAAGCATACTTTAGAAGCAGAATGGAGACAAAGCATAGAAAGTAATGATTAGGTATGGTAAGCTCCTATAAAGAGGCTCAAGAGGTTTCCTATGTATTTAGAAATGTAGGAATGTGTCTGTGGAAGTGTATGAGAATCAGCAGGAGGTACCTCTATTGAAATATAATGTTACCTTTTAGACTTTGTCCTTTTGAAGACATGCCCTGGCATTGGGTCAAGACTAGAAGGAGAAACTACCTACCAGATAGACTTGATTTTGAAGAGAAAGGAGCAAAGAAAGTTCTTTGTCCACAGAAAATAGTTAAGTGTTCTTGGCAAATAGAAGTCATCTATTTCACTTCTATGTCTTGTAAGATTCAAGAGGGTCTTAATAAATAAGGAATCCTGCCTATATATCTATAAAATGTGGAGGTTGAACCAATTCCCATCAGCTATAGTAATCTCTATTCTCTTACAGTTTTTCCCTGTGAAGACAGTGGTCATGGATTAAATTGGCACTAAGAGTTGTTGGCTTGCACTTTTTTCAGACACAGTAAACCCAGGCCAACTTCTGAAAAGAGACTTTTTTCCCCTTCATCTTTTGTTTTTGTTTTATTTTTTAAAAAAATTTATTTATTTATTTGACAGAGAGAAGAGAGAGAGAGAGAGAGACAGCGAGAGAGGGAACACAAGCAGGGGGAGTGGGAGAGGGAGAAGCAGGCTTCCCGCTGAGCAGGGAGCTTGATGTAGGGCTTGATCCCAGGAACCTGGGATCATGACCTGAGCAGAAAGGCAGATGTTTAATGACTGAGCCACCCAGGTGCCCCTCATCTTCTGTTTATTACAGCACAACCTTTTCATGGGTGAAAATCAATTCAATGTACCCAAGAAGCCTGAGGTTGTGACTTTTGACACCATCTTTGGAAGATTTGGCATTTTCACGTGCTTCGATATACTCTTCTATGATCCTGCTGTTACTCTGGTGAAAGATTTCCATGTCGATACCATAGTCTTCCCAACAGCATGGATGAATGTTTTGCCACATTTGTCAGCTATTCAGTTCCACTCAGCTTGGGCAATGGGCATGGGGGTCAACTTCCTTGCATCCAATATACATCACCCCTCAAAGAGAATGACAGGTAATGTGTAAGCTCTAAGATTTACAAACTTTATGTAATCAAAAAAGTAAAAGAAAAAATAATTTTTCCTAGCTAGCATGTACTCCTTAATATAATGTTTTCCAACTCTTTAATTTTTGCATATCTAGCTGGTGAAATACCGTAGAACCATCTCAATCTAAATTGTTTTGTAGATTTATTTAGTTTTATTCAACTTACATGCCCATTTCTTTTTTTTTCCCCTCAAAAATTCACCACTTCTTACATGAAAGTTTCACTTATTGGCTTTTTGATATCATACTCTGTTGGATCTCCTCTCACTTGTCCTTCTCAGTATGTTTTACTGAAATTAGTGACGTATATAGCTCAGAGAATGTGAGTTTAAAATAACAATAACAACTGTGCAATCCTTTTTCACTTTTCTATTTCAAATGCCATTTCCAACATCACTTTCAGGAAGTGGCATCTATGCACCTGATTCTCCAAGAGCATTTCATTATGATATGAAGACAAAGGAGGGAAAACTCCTTCTCTCACAACTGGATTCTCACTCACACAGCCCTGTAGTGAATTGGGCTTCTTATGCCAGTAGTATAAAGGCATTCTCAACAGGAAATCAGGAATTTAAGGGTACTGCCTTTTTTGATGAATTCACCTTCTTGGAGCTCACAAGAGTCACAGGAAATTACACAGTTTGTCAGAAAAAACTCTGCTGTCATCTAAGCTACAAGATGTCTGAAAAGAGAAGAGATGAAGTTTACGCCCTGGGGGCATTTGATGGACTACATATTGTCGAAGGGACGTATTATTTACAGGTAATGATTGTTTTGGTGTCAGGGGAGTTAACCAGATAAAATACAGGACCCCTAGTTGAATTTGAATTTCAGATAAACAATGGATTGTTTTTGTTGTAAGTGTCTCACTTTTGAGGATACCTGTACACTAAAAATTTTGTTTTATTTGAAATTCGAATTTAGCTGGGCATCCTGAATTTTTGTTTGCTTAAACTTGAAATCCTAGATGTCAGTCCGGTTTTAAAATGGCTGGAAAAAAGGCAGGAGATTTATTTACAATACCTGTATTTAAAATGATATGATAATCAAATTACAGATTATTTTAATGGATGATTAGCCTCTGATATTTCCTGCCTGAAGAAATTTATCCATTTTCTTTATATGTTCACTAAAGCTTATCTTGTTTCATTAAGAGCTTGACACTAAGCATGTCCTGGAGACATATAGGGTCAGCCTCTGAGATACGTAGTAGAGTAGTTTACTACTGCAAAGATTTGGGTATCTCACAGCCCCCAACACTAAAGGAGGAACTATTATAGGCTGGTAAGGTGTGACCCCTAAGAACAAACAACTTTCATGTTCCTCTCGTTTTGCTCTCCTCTTCCCTGATCTGTCTCCCATCCTATTTCAGGGCTTCCAGTTGAGTTTCAGCTCCATCCAGTCTATTTCCTACACTCTGATTATAAAAATTACTAAAAGCCATTTGTGATTATTTCACTCTCTTTCTTAAAATTCCTCACTGTCTTCTAGTTGGCAAATCAAATTCCTTAACAAAACATGCTCATAAATTTTTGACATGTGCCTTTTCCTACTCTCTATTCTCTTCTCTCACTTCCACCCACATGTGCTCTGGGCTTCTCTCATATTGAGACATTTCCTCCTCTGCAGTGTGAGGGCATCTGCAGACCCTCTGGATGTGTGCACGGGTTGTTTCCTTTATCTATGATGGCCCCACCTACTCACCATTCACAGTGCATTTCAGGTGTTGTCTTCACCAAGAAGGCTGCCCTGACACTTTCCGTGGCACCACTCCCACCTCCCCACCTGGGCTAGGTACTTCATACATCCTATGCTCAGTTTTATCAAGGACGTATTATGTGAAATTATGCACATAGTTGTCTGAGACTGAAAATCCTTTGAGTGCTGGAACTCTGCCCACTGTGCAACATTCTCTTTGCTGCATGACAAGCACTTTACCAGTGCTTGCTCATTTGGACACTTATTGAGTGCCTACTGCATAGTAGGTATATATTCAGAGCTGATGATATGAAGATGAATAAGTAAAGGCCCTCCTCTTGAAGAATTTAATAGTGGGGAAAGACATATGAATAGATAATGTCAGTACAGGTTGGCATGTGCTAGAACATAGAATGCACATTTTGTGGTAGGAATACTAACAAGCTGTACCTAGCCTAATTCGGGGATTCAGGGAAGTTTCTGGAGACCTGATGTTAAGAGCTTATGCTATTATCCAGATGAAAAGAGTGGGAGGAAATTCTAGGTGGAGTGGAATATGAGCAGGGGTGTGGATGTGTCAAGAAGTAGGGTATGTAGATCAGTGTTACTAAGGTATAATGTAAGAAGCAAGGATTGGTGGAAGATGACCCTAGAGGCAGGATCACATGTGACAGCATCTTACCTGTCATTCCTAAAGTTTGGACTTTATTTTCTGGGTGATAGTCTTCTGTTGGAAGGTGTTCAGCAAGGGCATGATGTGATCAGATCTGCCATTGAGTAGATCAATGTGGCAGCACTGTGGATGATGAAACTAGGGCAAAAAGACTAGTTAGATTATTAAAATAGTCCTACTAGAGCCTGTACCAAGAGTATGTTAGTAGGAATAAGAGCAGGGTATGGAGTCAAGCAATATGCAGAAAACTTAACTTATAGCTGATTTGATATAGAAAAGCAGATTGAGAGGACTAGAATGTACCAGGTTTCTGGGAAGAGTGCCTGGGTGAATGCCGTGCTCTGACAGATCAGGATGCTAGAGGGGGAGCAGATTGAGTGGTAGTGGGGAGATGCTCAGTTCACTTAGAATGTTCTGGTTTTTTTTTTTTTTTTTAAAGATTTTATTTATTCATTTGACAGAGAGAGACACAGTGATAGAGGGAACACAAGCAGGGGAAGCGGGAAAGGGAGAAGCAGGCTTCCCGTGGAGCAGGGAGCCCGATGTGGGACTCGATCCAGGGAC